GTGACAGGGGGTGGCGCTGCAACCTCCCCATCGACCCTGCCTTGAGTGTGACAGGGGGTGGTGCCCCAACCCCCCAATCGGCCCTACCCTGAGCGTGACTGAGGGTGGCATTGCAACCTCCCGATCCGCCCTGCTCTGTGCATGACGGGGCGGCGCCCCTACTCCCCAATCGGCCCTGCTCTGAGCCTGACCAGGGGCTGTACTTAGGGATTGGGCCTGCCCTCTGCCACCCGGGAGCAGGCCTAAGCCAGCAGGTCGTTATCTCCCGAGGGGTCCCAGACTGCGAGAGGGCACAGGCCGGGCTGGGGGAACCCCCTCCCCCCGAGTGCACAAATTTTTGTGCACCGGGCCTCTAGTCCTATCTAATAAAATGGTAATATGCAAATTAACCATCACTCTGTCACAAAGATGGCAGCACCCATAGCCACAAGATGGTGGCACCCAGTCCCCTCAGCCCCGCCAGAGTACCCCAGTCCTCGGGGGGCGACCGCTGAGAGCGGGAAGCGTGAGCAGCTTGGTGGAATGCTTGCTTTGTCACCGTGGCGATGAGGCAAGCATTCCACCCCGGCTGCGGAGGGCCTCTGGGCCACGGAGAGCCTCTGGGCAGCGGGCGCAGAGTGGCCAGGCCCTGCAGAGAGCAGAGAACCATGGGGAGTGGGTCTAAGCCGTCAGGGCTCCCACATTGGAGAGGGCTCTCCTGAGGGCTCCCGGATTGGAGAGGGTGCAGGTCGGGCTGAGGGACCCACCCCCTGTGCACGAATTTCATGCACCTGGCCTCTAGTTTGGTATATAAACTTTTTGTGTTTGACTTCTTATGCATATTTTTTAAAATGTTAACTTTTTAATAGAGAGTACATTTACATGGTTCAAAAATTTAAAGGTACAAAGGATAAGCATTGAAGAGTTTTCTGCCCACTTCTTCCCATTGCTATCCCATCAAGCACCCTGCTATACTCTCTAAAGGCAACAGATGTTAGCAATGTCTTTGTTTATTTCCAGAGATTTTACATATGTACAAGAACTATATATGTGTGTATATATATACTAGAAGCCTGGTGCACGAAATTTGTGCATGGGGGGGCATCCCTCAGCCCGACCTGCACCCTCTCCAGTCCAGGACCCCTCGGGGGATGTCCAACTTCCGGTTTAGCTGTCTGGTCTAATTAGCATATTACACTTTTATTAGTATAGAGTTTCTTATCCCCATCTTTTTCATAAATAGTAGTATATACATTGATGTGTACTTTTTAAAAAATATATATTTTTATTGATTTCAGAGAGGAAGGGAGAGGGGGGAGAGAGAGATAGAAGCATCAATGATGAGATAGAATCATTGATTGTCTGCCTCCTGCACACCCCCTACTGGGGATCGAGCCTATAACCCAGGCATGTGCCCTTGACTGGAATCAAACCTGGGACCCTTCAGTCTGCAGGCCGATGCTCTATCCACTGAACCAAACCAGCTAGGGCCTTTTTTAAAACTTAAAATATAATCATTATGTATCAGTACCTGAAAAGCTTCCTTAGCTTTGAATGGCTTATTTATTGCTCATAGTATTTTGATTTATGTAATCAGTCCTATGTTATTGGACATTTAGCCTGTTGCCAGTCTTTTGCTACTCCAAACAATGCATCAGTCAAAACCCTATTGCATCATATCAGGAGGCACATATTGTTTGGTCTTTTCTTTTTTGTGTGTATGATAAGCTTGATCAGTCAATTTGAGAGTGATCAGCCTGATCCATTGTTTAGAGGGGTCTCTTTATATTTTCTCCAGCCTTTTGTCTAAGTTTTAGCATCCATTGGTGAGCTTGCATAGATGCATTGTTTTATCTGGAGTTGCAAAATGGTGATACTCTAATTCTGTCATTACTTCTGCATTTATCAGTTGGAATTCTGTAAAGAACTGTTCTTTATCAGCTATCATTGCATATGTAGCTGAATTCATAATTATTTCATTAGGGTTAGTTCCTATAAATTGAGTTTACTGGGCAAAGGGTTTCTTTTATTGAAGATTTTTTTATAAATATTGTCAAATTGCACTTAAAGATGTGCTGTTAGCTTTTACACCTCCATCATTGTTATATGAGTGAAATACTGTGCAACTTATAGAAATAATGATGTAAAACCTCAGAGATGGTCAACACATCAGTTGTCTTTGTCAATCAGAACTATCATTGCTTGCCTTTTTCTTAGAGTGCTTTTTAGTGTGACTTTGGAAATACTAGTGTTTCTAGTCTGTGTGCATTAAATATGTATTAATTTTGAAATTAGAAGGATGGTTAAATAATGTTAGTAAAAAAAACCAACAACTTAATTTTTGTAGTTTGACTATGTATATTAACCATGTTTTAAAATATATAAATAAATAATTATAAAAATCTAATGGTTTTTCCTTTGCAGCGACATTTCTGGGGGCAAACCCTTAGAAGTAGAGATGGAAGGGATAGAATACATGAACGATGATCCTGGCATGGTGGATGTTCTTTATGCCAAAGTTCATATGAAAGATGGCTCCAACAGGTATGTTTCTGGAACACTACTTTGTTTTAGTCAAGAGCTGCCTAAAAGCATCCCTGGAAGTTCAACTACTTTTGATTCCTTTTCTTTAAGATCTTATTATTGCAAAGAGTGTGTTAATTCTTCTTTTTTTAACAGAGAGCTGGTAAGTTGAAAGAGGAATTTGTTGTAGGAAAAAGTATTTTAGTCTGATAATTATGAAATTACTTGGATGGTAGATATTGACAGTAGCAATCTAGTTTTTATGGAACTCAGTGCTTCCTTCATGCATTCCAGGATAATAGGAGGCAGGAAGGGTGGCATTTTAGGTTGCTAGTTACAGAAGTGAAATAATGCAGATGTAGTGAATACCCAGGCACAATGGGGATAATAACTATATAAATTTCATAAGATTATTAGGATTGAATTAATCTATATAAAATGCTTTAAGATAGTGGTTGGCATATATACTCACTCATCAAAACATCCATCAACAAATGTGTAACCTTGGCTGTTGTGGCTCAGTTTGTTGGAGTGTAGTCCGGTACACCGAAAGGTGGTGGGTTCAATCCCTAGTCAAGGCATGATTGGGAAGGCAACTGATAAATATTTCTCTCTCATATCGATGTTTCTCTCTCTTTTTCCTTCTCTCTAAAATAAATAAGCATGTCCTTGGGTGAGGATTAAAAAAAAGTTTATGCCCTAGCGGGTTTGGCTCAGTAGATAGAGCATGGCCTGTGGACTGAAGGGTCCTGGGTTCAATTCTGGTCAGTGGCACATGCTCAGGTTGCAGACTTGATCTCTAGTAGGGGATATGTAGGAGGCAGCCAATCAATGATTCTCTCTCATCATTGATGTTTCTATTTCTCCCTCTCCCTGCCTCTCTGAAATCTATAAAAAAAATATTTTTTAAAAAGTACTATTTTTTATTTCTGTTTATTACCACACCTGCAATCCAAGCTATTTCTGAGGCTATACTAGGCATCCAGAGCCATTACAGGTCTTTGGTGAGCAGAGGAACCCAACTTGAATTAGTTTTTTTTGTGTGTGATCTTTTCATTAAGGTAACTTAGAACAGAGCTTACACTGAACCTGAAACTGTCTAGAGCAGTGATGGCGAACCTTTTGAGCTTGGTGTGTCAGCATTTTAAAAAACCCTAACTTAACTCTGGTGCCGTGCCACATATAGAAATTTTTTGATATTTGCAACCATAGTAAAACAAAGACTTATATTTTTGATATTTATTTTATATATTTAAATGCCATTTAACAAAGAAAAATCAACCAAAAAAAATGAGTTTGCGTGTCACCTCTGACACGCGTGTCATAGGTTCGCCATCACTGGTCTAGAGATGTGGCTTCTTTCATTCTGCATAATGTCTTCAAGATTAATTCATGTTGTAGCAAGTATCAATACTTCATTTCCTTTTTTTAATACATAGTTTTTAAAAAATTTATTTCAGAGAGGAAGGGAGAGGGAGAGACAGATAGTAAACATCAATGATGCGAGAGAATCATTGATCTGTTGCCTCCTGCATGCTCCCCCTTGGGAATTGAGCTTGCAACCCACGCAAGTGCCCACACAGGGAATCGAACCTTGACCTTCTGGTTCATAGGTTGATGTTCAACCCCTGAGCTAAGCTGGCCAGGCAATAGTTCATTTCTTTTTATGGCTGAGTAATATTTCATTGTGTGGAAATACTTTTGTTCATTACTTGATAGACATTTGGGTTGTTTCTACCTTTTGGCTATTTAAATAGAACTGTTTCCAATTCTTTTGGGCTGACTCACTTTTTAAATGATTAAAGTCATGGTTTTAATTCCCTTGATTAACCTTGTAATTTTATAGGGCATCATAGTCACTCAGCCTGACTGCTGTTAATTTGTTTTGTTATCCTCTGTTATGGGATTTACTTAATTTTTGTCAGTACTAGTATAAACTTTATTGTTGTAAGACTAATATCTGTGATAGTCTTATAGACATGCAGTTAACAGGAAGCTATATGAAAAATATACATGGAATTACAGTGTTTCATTAAATAAACTAGTGAATATTTCCTAATGTAGGCCTTCAAGTCTATTTTTTATTTTTATTTTTCCCTTCTTTTTTCCTCCCTCTCCCACCCATTCCCCTTCCCCACCCTCTCCCTTCCCAGCCCCCTCCTTTCCCTGCCTCCTCCCCATCTTTCCTCCCTCTCCTCTCCTCTCCCCTGCTCAACCACTCTGCTTCACCCTTTATTTTGGCCCCCACTTTGTAGGCCACCCTACTCTCCTGTACCGAACCCTGGTTCTTATCTCTGTCCCCTAGGCCAGTATAGAAACTGGAACAGAATGTTCCCGTGTCTCTGGGCCTCCTCTCTGCCTAGCTTGGTTAAGGACCTAAGTTGAGACTCCCCCGTAAGGATTCTGGCTTGTCTCTGAAAACAGAGCCCTGGACGGTCCTCACTTGTCCTTTCCCTGAATGCTCCTGAGGTGGAGGCTCAGAGGGGTGGCTTTTCCTGGCTGCTCTTCAGGTCTGTTTAGCATACATGTCATAGACTCTATAGTTTAACCCTATTCTTGTTGGCCCCCAGAGGGAAAAAGAGTGATCACTGAAAAAGGTTGATAAAATCATTGCCTTGAGTGTTCCCAATGGATATGTTTACCTTTTGCTTTTAATAGTTAGACCCTTAGTTCTATGGAAGGTCTTCAAGTGTAGAGAATTAATAGGTTCTTGAGATTTGTTAACCTAAAAATCAAAGTGAGGTTCAATAAGCATTTTTTTGAGATCCAAAACAAGAGCTATTTGGGAAGCACTGATTCAAGCAGAAACCCGAATAGTGTTCCAGATAAGGAAGGCAAGGGAAAGGATAACAATTACAGCAATTACGTCAGTAGAAGGAAGACATTCTGTAGGTGCAGATAAGCTAACATAGTGATACTAATTCTAAAGAATGTTTAATTTTCAGTCCAGTAGTTATAATATATGCTTTCTTGTTATCTTTGCAAATAGTTGTTGAGGGTGTAATGTTGCTTTAGGCTCACTCCAAAGGTTATTTTGCAGTTTTAACATTCCAGAGGTTTGAGGAGTAAGATGTGCAAGGCAATTCCTCTGGATGGTGGTAGCTCTGACTCCGTTTTAAAGTGGCTTCATTTATATTATACTAGAGGCCTGGTGCACAAAAATTTGTGCACTTGGGGCAGGGGGTTGTCCCTTAACCCAGCCTGCGCCCTCTCACAGTCCAGGACCCCTCATGGGATGTCCACCTGCTGGCTTAGGCCCACTCCCTGGGGAATAGGGCCTAAATTGGCAGTCAGACATCCCTCTGGCAGCCTGGGAGCCCTCGGGGAATGTTTGACTGCAGCTTAGGCCCACTCCCCACCAGTCGGACATCCTTAGCACTGCTGAGGCGGCAGGAGAGGCTCCCACCACTGCCACTGTGCTTGTAGCTGTCAGTCCAGCTTGTGGCTGAGCGGAGCTCCCCACATGGGAGCCCACTGACCACCAGGAGGCAGCTCCTGCATTGAGCGTCTGCCCCATGGTGGTCAGTGTGTGTCATAGCGACTGGTTGTTCCCAGTCATTCTGCCGTTAGGGTCAATTTGCATATTACCCTTTTATTATATAGGACTTTTTTTACAGATTGGAAGGAAAATAAGTGCTATAAAAGTTAAATGTCTTTTGTAGACAGTGCTCAGACATAATTTGTACCCACATTAATGGAAGGTTAAGGGCTCAGAAGGTTGAAAACACCCTTTATTTTTTCTACAGATCCAGCCCTTACAAATTTTGCACACTTCCTGTTGTCAAGGCCTTGTAAGTTAAAAGGTCTTGTGAAATGTTTGTTCAGTGAATTGTTATCGATGAACATTTTGGAGTAATTCCCATCTCTCTTTCCCATTTTCTCTTTTCTATTGCTCATCCCTCCTTCATAGGAGTCACGTTTATGTTACTTAAAAAAGATTTATAGCCCTAACCGGTTTGGCTCAGTGGATAGAGCGTCGGCCTGCGGACTCAAGGGTCCCAGGTTCAATTCCGGTCAAGGGCATGTACCTTGGTTGTGGGCACATCCCCAGTAGGGGGCGTGCAAGAGGCAGCTGATCAATGTTTCTCTCTCATCGATGTTTCTAACTCTCTATCCCTCTCCCCTCCTCTCTGTAAAAAATCAATAAAATATATTTAAAAAAAAAAGATTTATAAATTCCCCTCCCCAAAACTATAGTGTCTGAGGGACTTGTACACCTCTTATTTAATTCAGTATTAAAACTATTCAAATGCCTTCTTTGTGCAAAGTATTTTGCAAGGCCATATAAATTGATACAGAATTGAGTAAGACATGACCCCGTTTTTAAGAAATGTTTCAGTCTTTTGCATTTCTTTATGTGAAGAGACACAGCAAAATATAAGAGGCATGAGGGAGAGACCATGTTGTAATAAAAATACAAACACTCAACTTTCTTTGAGTGCTTTCATATATTTTAAGTAAAAGATTCCCTTAAAATGATTTACTGTGAAGTGCCTGATCAGATTTTTTCCTTTGGAAACAGCTGGGACAGTGTAGCTACACTTATTGATGCATCCTTGGGTTTGGTAAAGCATGACTGGATAAGGCGTTTGTGTTCAACCTTTTACTCATTACTTAGTAGTCTGCTATTGCTAAGACTTAATTATTGAACAAAGTGGCTATTCTGTTCTGTTCTGTTACTCTCTCAAGACTCCACTCTTGCCCCTCAGAAGAATGGCTTTCTCACACTTTACTGAGCACATGAAGCTAGTTCATCAAGCTCCTTACTTTTTCCTTCACAACCTACCTATTTTCATCGTACCCACCCCGACTCAATTTCACTTTCTTTCTGAAGAATGGCACACATTATTTCTGATGAGGCTAATCCCTTTACTTAGTTTCCTTCCTAACAAGAAGGAATGACCCCATCCCTTCTTATCTCCTCAGGGACCTAGCACCATCCGTTATTTTACCCTAAAGGACATTTCCAGCCCCCTTTTCCCGTAGGTACTTTTCTAATGCCCTGTATGTGAGGTGCAAGA